TATTCGAGCATACTTCCCCTCCATCAGCGCCAACAGGTGGCTTGCTGTACGACTGGAGTTCATCGGTTCTGTGATTATCCTAGCAGCAGCTATGTTCCCAATTCTGTCAGTGGCTACTGGATCCAAATTATCTGCTGGCATGGTCGGTCTATCAATGTCATACGCACTCCAAATTACGCAGTCCCTCAACTGGATTGTTCGGCAGACAGTCGAAGTGGAAACTAACATTGTCTCCGTCGAGAGAGTGTTGGAGTATGCAAACCTTCCCAACGAGGCTCCAGATGTCATTTTCAAAAAGCGACCCCAAATTGGCTGGCCCTCTCAGGGAGGCGTGCAATTCAAGAATTACAGCACCCGGTACCGTGAAGGTCTGGACCTTGTGCTTCAAGATATTAACCTTGACATTAAACCTCACGAAAAGATTGGTGTTGTTGGCCGAACAGGTGCAGGCAAAAGCTCGCTGACATTGGCTCTGTTCCGCATCATTGAAGCAACAGCAGGAAACATTAGGTGAGAGTTCTCGTAGCGATCTTCTGAATGGTCGGGACTTTTGTATGCTGATATCTTTGTTCTAGCATCGACGGGTTGGACATCAGTACTATTGGCCTATTGGATTTGCGGGGTCGCCTGGCAATCATACCACAAGACGCGGCTTTGTTTGAAGGAACTGTTCGAGACAACCTCGACCCACGCCATGTCCATGATGACACCGAGCTATGGAGTGTGCTTGGTAAGCCTCCTCTCCAATCTTGGAGAGTTGCCTGCTGACTGTCGATCAGGACACGCACGACTAAAGGACCACATCTCAAGTTTGCCTGGTCAACTTGACGCACAGATCCACGAAGGAGGTCAGTCGGACAATCATCCTGACCAATCAACTGTTGTGTTGTGGGTTTAATCTTTTGAGGCTAACGACCATATGTGCCTAATAGGGTCGAATCTAAGCCAAGGCCAACGACAGCTTATTTCATTAGCTCGAGCCTTGTTAACGCCAAGCAACATTCTCGTTCTTGATGAAGCCACTGTAAGCCATTGTTCTTCTATCCGACAAAACGGCTAGAGAGCAACCGCCAGTAATGGCCTTTGAAAATTTGAACTTTTTTTGTCTACTTTCCTCTTTGGTCATCCCTGCGATTCTGATTGTTCACTGACTTCTATCACTGCAGGCCGCTGTCGATGTGGAAACGGATGCCCTGCTGCAGCAGATGCTTCGAAGTAGCATTTTCCGCGATCGAACTATCATCACAATCGCCCACCGCATCAACACCATCCTGGATAGCGATCGGATCGTCGTTCTGGACCATGGATCTGTTGTTGAGTTCGATACTCCTGACGCACTAATTCGGCGGGGCGGACAGTTCTACCACCTTGTTAAAGAGGCTGGGCTTCTTGAGGCTAATGTCCCAATCACCAATGATACCACCAGCACCACCAAGACGATACCAAGTCCATGAACAGGAAGAGATGTATGGAGTACTTTTTTTTGTTTTTTTTTCCCTTTTTTTGATGCGTTATGGATCCTATAAATTTCCTTCCCTCTGCCACCCCAGGTAGTACAGCGTTAGAAGCTGCGAGAGAAAAAAGAAACCGTGTACATGTACTTACCACCAAGCTAAAATAAACAGTTTCTTTATGCTTCATGCCTCGCCATTTTGAACGTGAAATATCGTCCGATTTTCATTTTCATCCTTTTTTTTTCTCTTTCTGATTTATATTGTTTACTTGGCGGTTTCCTTATATTCAAGTTTCTCCTAGTACGCCGCGGAAATCGGACCGACCAAGCTGTCGGGATGCTAGCCTCAACCAAAAGCCGTGAATAGAACCCAAAAAGAAAAAAAAGAAAAAAAAAGGAAAAAAAACGCCAAGGTCTTCAAAGGAGTCAAAGCGGCCTAAAACAAATGGTTTGCCGGGGAGTATCAAGTTTATTCCGTTGTGTATGCAGCAGGGTGGAGTGGATGACATGGGGCGTGCGACGATAAATCATCGAGAGGCTTTTCCGCCACTGAAAAGAAGAGCAGGGTGCTCCGTAAGAGATAAATTGTTTCGCGCACCCCCTTTGATTTGCCCCACTTGATTTCGCGGCTTTACCCCTCCCTCCCGGCCTCCCAGGATGCTTCTGGGCTTTTCGATCTTGCTCCTCCCAGCACGGACTCCGTGCTTGGTGCTGAAACGAAATGTAATTCGCTTTTGCTGAGAGCTGGAACATCCACCCTTGATCCCGCCCGTGTCTCGGAATCTTTCTCCTGCAGCTAAAGGCCAACTCTCCACATGATGAAGATAACACCGGTTTGGAACGGGTTTCACTACGATCACGCTAGCTAGCTAGCCCTTAGTTCCCGGCAACCTTTTTATTATCAGATTGTCGCAGTTGTTGCCCGGAGCCGTTAGCGTCCAAATTCTGTATCCGGGACGTTTTCAGTCCCTTGGAATCTGTTAAACGAGAAAATCAAAGCCCTTGAAATTTAACCACACTGATTTCGAAACCATTTTCATGACTTTCCTTGAACCGTAGATTATTTACGCCATCACTGCTAGCTACCCCACGCTACGTTATGTCCAGTTTAACACAGTAAGCCGGATCACACCCAATATCCATAACCCTGATTCCTAATAAATGGCATATACCCTAGGGCAGGACTACTCCGTATTTTGGACCTTCTAACCCCAATAACCGTGATACATGCATACCCCAGCTAGGAGGAGGTTTACACAAAGTTGTGCCCCAGAGAAAGCCTGCAGCATGCAGCAACCGGTGCCAAATAGGGGCTCGATACCCTCATCGAATGTCAAACCTTGGAAGGCGCAGGTGTTGATATTTAAAAAAAAAAAATCTTGAGATGAAGCAGTGTGTGAAGCAGTGGTGGTGACGCATGGGGACAGGCAGGCCAAAGGATTGCATAGCCCATTAAAAGGGCCGTATCGTAGTTTAATCGACCCGCACGATCACTGCAGTAAAATGTTCCCGAGGAAGACCGAGAATTAACATCCCGGACACCTGGGCGCAGGGCCATATCCTTAAAACACCCTCTGTAAGCTGGTCCGCATTAGGATATTTTTTTCGAGCCCTTGTTCCATTCCAAGAACCAACAGGATGGACAAGACAGGGTAGTCCCACCTGAACGTTTGGAGATCGAGGTTAACTAGCTTAGTTCAGTTGGTTTATTTTGAAAAATATCTCTTTACTTCATCCGGCTGTGAGACGAGAATCAAGCGTTGTTCAGCGTAGGGATTCTACGGTTGTGAGATGTGGCGTGTATGTACTCTGCCCCCTTATGCACTCCGTGTTTGGTGCGCCCGGTTTGACTGGACATGGTGTTTCCTTTTCACTAGTAACAGGGTAATGAGTTGTGAAACCTGAAGAGCTGGGTTTGTATGGGCTGCGAAAAGCGCTTGATCACGGTGGGGCGTAGGAGAACGTTTGGTTTTGGCCCCGTTCCACGATTGAGAGGAAGGTAAAGGGGAAAGCGACAGATGGAGAGGGTCGCGACATGTTTGAATAGTGCACTTGGCTCATCAATAATACTCAAAAGTTAACGTGTGAGGAACTTGGTAAAGGCTGTCGCGCACTTGAAGACTGCACTACTTCTATGGAGGCGTTATCTTCAGCGTTCGTTTGACATGTTCGTATCGTCTCTCGAAGCTGTCATGCGGCAAGCTTTGGGCCGATGAAGGTCAGAGTTTGGCATCTGTTATCAAACCTGTCAAAGGCTACCATAAAAGTAACGTTATGGTTTGGTCGTTAACTAGGGGTCACATCCCGTTGACTTCTCATCTTCAAGCAAGTCCAACAAGCCAGCTTTTTGACTTGCGTCCAATGCTCTACATTCATCTCTCCTATTTGTTCGACAACTCCCGTTTATGGGATCCGGCGGAGACAAAGAAGTGCCGCTTGACTTTGTCCGCAAGTAATATTATTATCATGACATCCCTATGCGTTAGTGGGTAACTTGACGTCCCGTATCTACACTATTAAGCGACAATAAACAATACACCTCTATTCGTTCGCTTCCTATCACTGAGTCGCAGGTCCTCGGCTTGACCTGCCGCGGCTAGACAAGATGCTGCCCGGACCAAGACCTAACGAACGGGAGGGCGCGTGGGAGACGGGAGGCCGACCATGGGCTTTTCTGTGGCATGAAATAACTAACGCATGGAGCAACTTAATGTTCCCTCTGTTAGCTGTCGCGCTCGCGGAAGGCTGCTCCCGCTTATCAACGGTCCAGAACACCTTTTAACGTTTTGACAGTTGGTCCGCCAGTCCGCCACACATTAACTTGCTGAGATCTTCACTGGACGATTGATCCTCTGGGGCTTCGATGTTAGTGGAACTGGTTCCTGCAATAGACGTGTGTTTCCGGTAGCAAACAAAAAAATATGCTGAGGAGGGATTCTGTGCTGCCAAGTTTGTCGGGTGCTCTGACCTCCCAGCCTAGTTTGAATGTTACGGCTCGCTTCGACAAGCTATTCGTGGAATAAATAACAGCCTGCAGGTTCATTTCAGTCGTTAACATTCATTTCAGCTCAAACTCTAAAAAGGAGGAAAAGCTTGAGGCGCGGCCTACTCCGATGTTTAAACAGGATAAAGCGAGACATTATTGTGAAAGCTGTTTGCAGAATGCCTCTTCTTTGCAACAATGGTCGCAGAAATTGCTTGTCAACATCGGATGGGGTGGCGAATATTTATGAGATTGTTTGACTGGAACAAGTGGTGGCTCTAGCAGTTGAAAATGTTGACGGTCAGGACTCAGGAGCTATTAGCCTGTCAACACCATTTTGCTCCAGACGCAAGGTATTTTCTTGCCACCTTTGGATTCCCGGTATTCGTTAACGGAGAGAGAGGAGAGTTGAATGGGAGTGCATTTTTACAGGCGAGAGCTTATCTCAACCAGACCAGATCTGAAAGAGACCATCGAGATTGAATTTGCTCGATTCGATTCGACTGGAACAATTTTGCAACAGACATCAACTGTGGAAGCCACTCAAACTGATGGCGAATCATGATGGGCTCTGGGTTGGTATTCTCTCAAATCCCAGCCGTAGGTTTGGTGGAAGACGAGGTTCTGGTCATACAGGCACCATTACATCTCTCCCCTGGGTTGCGGAATGCCCCGCACATTCTCGGCAAGGATATGATATACCTGGTTGTCTGGAACCATCACGTCGTATTGAGTAAGAATCATCCTGTCTGTGTGTGCTTGGATGAAATATCTCGATGGAGATAAATTTTGCTCCACCTTTACCATCGCCCTTTCATAAGCTCAGAGATTCCGCCCGCATAAGTTTTTGAAAATGGTCTCATTGCCAAACGATCCAACCTCTTGAACATGGGTAAGATGCTTAGGGTTGGCGGATCAGCATGAAGGATTGAACCGCATCAATTGTGGCAGAAATACAAAGCCACGCAAGTTGAAGAAATCTTCCCATGCCGGCCGAAGCTTGATAAAGAGAAGCTTCCAGAAGTCATGAATTATTACCCATGCCTGGGCCGATCATCAAAACAAGTTTTTAGATCTTTGAATTCCATGCTGCTAGATCACAGTCTCTCCGTTCTGATAGAATCGACAGCCTGCAGCACCAAGCCAAGGTGTGAGGCAACTTTTCGAGCGACAAGGCCAAACACATGATTATTATTCACAGGTCGGGAATGCCGCTGCGAGATGGAAACAAACCCCTTGAGCATATGCCTTTCAGTTCCCATCGCATTAATATTAATTATTTTCAATGCTCTCTAAGCGTCCAATAATTGAATGTCACTCTCTTCCAACGTACATGCAACACGCATATTGTTTTCCCCCTTCAACTTGCCTTCTGCTGTGAAATCCCTTTCGAGGCACAAAGCCTCAAAGGCATTGCCGTTCCGCGCATTCCGTTTCCGTAAAAAGAGACCTGAGTTAGTTAGCCGATTACTCCAGAGGCTAATCAAGATTTATCTTCCCGTTTCCGCATTTTGATGCAATGGGAGCGATTTAGTATGCACATTCGCCTCCATTGACCTCCGGTGTTTGGAAGTTTTCCAGCCGAAATGAAGAGGGTCAGTAGACCTTTTCTTTTTTTAGTGAAGTGTTATCGCACGGTTGATTAAGTAAGAAAACACTTTATTTATAATCGCATATATCACTTATGAGGACGTCAAGTAAAGATGATCCGAGAGACTCAGAATTGAACCGTTAGATCTCTTTTGGCCCTTTTGGCCCAATTTTTTCTCTAAAGGAGACATAATATTGGAAAGAAATTAGAGAACCCGCTTTCCAAGATCTTGAAAGGTCCAATCCACAAAATCTTTGCATGACAGGTAACGAGGCGTCATTCAGTGTAAATTTGCGATGCTGGCCTCTCTGCACTCCATTATTGAGCACCAAATGAATGAGTTCTTCAACCCCTCACAACGGGGGAAGTGTCTGGTGGTGGGAGGCAAGCGAGATTACAATCCGATCAGGGTTATAAGGGTAATCTGTTTTGCAGGTCCTCAACTCGCCGGAGAATCAATGCAGGGAGTGGAGGATCTCTCCTGCAATCTTTGTATGCAGGAAGAGCGGACAATATAGAGTTGCAGGGGTCTCAGTAATGGAGGAGAGCCGGGGGCTGTCAGAGAAGCTCCCTCCTGCATTTCCGGACCATGATCTTCAGACAGCCTTCATTTCTCGGGTTTGTCTTTTCCCCCCCTCTCACGATCAACAGAAGACTATCTCGGATTGTCTGAAACAATCCGCGGACGGTCACGGTGCCAGGATGACGGGCTGATCGCGCGGAGTGGCTTGAATAACTCATTCCCTAGTATATATAGCAGTAGCAGGGGATGGGATGGAGCGAAGTGGTAATCCAATTATCCCAGAGGGTTGACGTGAAGTAAAAATTGACGCTGCTGAAGTTTGGATGCGGTTTGGATACGGTTTGGATAAGAGTGGAGATTGGAGTGGGTGGGAGTGAAATGGACCTCGGCAAGTTTGTCAAACGTGCAGGCTCCAACAAACCTCCCATCTACAAACAGCCGTGATTATTCTTCGTGACAATAACAGGGACCGCAGGGACCAGAAGGTGGGCAACTCCGGGTTTCTGTCATATCCAGGATGCCAATGAAGTATCTTGGCCAGGCAACGTGCAGGAAGTCTGTTTCACTGTGCTGCTTCGGATGCCAGCTTGCCCATCCCACACTTTCTTTGTGCGTTCATGCTACGTTCAGCGGCAGTGTATGTGCTAAATCGATGATATCCTGACAGGAGGGAAATCGGGTCAACCCAGCTAATCATGCAATAATAGAGGTGCCTTGGCATCGACAGAATCAGGAGTAGGCTCCCAAAATGTGCCATCTCCGATTCATCATTGACCCGGATTGTCGGGATGGCTCTCGTGTGGGTCCCCGTAAGGACAAGGGGCTTCAGATATAGGAAAGGAAGCCCTCTGGCTTGAGCAGGCTTTTCCCCCACGTAAGAACTAACAATCATGGTCGGAACAAGCCTAGAGGCCCCCCGCTCTGGATGAAGCACACCCGTGGGCAAATACTGTGTCTAATCCTGATACAGACTTTTTGAGACAGACCTCATAACTACTTTTCTCGGGGGACAATCAATAAGATCGCTCATCACTACTATATGAGATGGCAGCACGCACGAGTGGGTTGGAGTTTCTGGGATGGATCAACGACGGACAGGCATATCATATTATCTTGTGGACCTTCCAGACGTGCGGTAACCTTCCCTAAGAATATATGCATACCCCATTGACTCCCCCATGTTACGAGCGTGAGCCACGTTTTTATTTCAACGGACTACCAAAACTTTTATGTGCTGAAAGACTGAGGTTGTCAAACTTCCCCTGTTATGTATGCCAAGGACAGCGGGTGGTTAAGTTGGCGCCACATGCGGAATATGCCCATTCAACAAAGCGTCCGGCCCCACAACCCAAGTTCCCGCGATCTAACCTTGCAGATTATGGATGTGCCAATAATGTGTCAAAGTTATTAGAGATGCTGCCCCAGAGTCAGAGGCTGCGTTCGAGAGCCTTGGCCACAGCACTGCAGAAGCGAAACAAGCAGCAGCGGGCCAACGGCCTCGTAATCCTGGGGCGGACACGGGGGTTGGAGAAGAATCTAGATTTTCGTTGCCCTCGAGCATTTTGATCTAGCTCTCGATAGCTTCTGCGTGGTGTTGTTCTGTCAAATATCCCGCGTGTTTGGCAACCAACAGAGGATGCAGTCTGTGAATAATCTTTTCCATTATCGAACAGGGATTTCAGTATCCTTGTTCTACGAGCTCTCAAACCATTTGGAAATTTTCTAAATTCTTCAAATGGGTGCTCCGTGATTGAAGATCAGAACCTCCAGAATCCTCGGGATAAACATCTCTTCCAAGAAGACGATGGAAGCCGTCCGGAAACACATAAATGGAAATGATATCCGACAACAGTGCGTCATCAACTTCATAATAGTCAAAAAGAGGAGCCCCTAAGCCACCGTTCAGGGGACTGCAGTCCACAATCTTGGGTTCCCAAGTCAGTGCTTCCGATTCCTCATCGAGGGCAGGGATCTATTCTTTCCGCTTTCTGTTACCCTGTCTCCAGGGGACTCCTCCGTATTATCATGAATAATAATATTACTATTGACAGTGACGATCAGGTCCTCAAGCTACCGCACGGGCCCTATCGCATTGTGGTCCGTCTCTTGGTGACTTCTCGCGAATCATGGTTGTTACCAAAATAGCCTGATTATCCCATTACCTGTCGCCGTTGGTTTGATCCCACCTCGAGAGAATGACAAGCCACTGGAGGCTTGGCTGTACACTTCTCGGATTCACCCTGCAGGTGGAGGGGGTAGTCGACCCGGGGGGGATGAAGCAGCCTACCGTGCATCCAGCTCATCCACTTGCCCACTTCAATAGCTGCTCCCAGGACACCATTGCTGGTTTTGAACAACAGCCACTACCTTGCTGATCATCAAGTTCCTGCCCTCCTTTAATATTCTGCCAGTGAACAAATGAAACACGCATTGGACATATTATTTATCTGTTCATCCCCAACCTCCCGTGTTCTAGTTTTCTTTATTCATTTTGAAGACAGCCGCGAGAAAAGCGTTAGGTGGGAACTTTATCTGCATCTACCATTACGTCTTTCTTTCGACAGGCAACAGAGACGCATTTACATTGCCATACCGATATTTCTGAAAAGGTGATCTTGTCACAGCCTTTCTTTTAGTGACCTAGTTTTCGTCGTTTCATATTTTATTGGGAGCTCTTGTCGATAATTCATACCTTATTTTGTCATATTGTTATCTTCAAAGCTACTTTATATCCTGTATCGTCTCCCAACAATCCTTAAAACCCGAATCCTAATTAGACCTTGTCAAAACATTGCGCCACTATTCAGGATCAGATATCCATCTGGGGCTTGACGGCGTATATTTAGAAATTGTTGGTCGTTTAAGACAATTCCATTATAAATTTGGCTTCCGACATCTCAGTAACATGGTGGTCAAACTTGTGGCTAGCAGCCCTCGGGGATGCCAATCTGAGCCTCACAATTACTCTCGCCAATCGACCGGAGGAGATCACTCCCGGGAATCATCGCCCGTATGTTGTGATAATATGTTACTCTTCATAATGATGCGAAACAACTAACAGAATAAAGGATATTATCATGATTCAATCCCGCTGTGCACTTAATATTCCATACCAGCAATACGCTTTAGCATATCTCGACCCGTCCGGGAATGTTCAGTATGAACTCTCTCCATCCATACAGAAGTATCGGGGCGAATTATTTTGTCCCGAGTTTGAAGAACGATTTTTACGACATACAAATCAATCATCATTGGCTGGTGCGTATCCCCAATAAGGTTGAATCGAACGATGTCTTAGTATAATACAGGCCCAAATTCCAAATATCACTCGAAATCAAAGAGGGCTCAATATCTATCTCCCCTGAGTCCCATGCCTCCGCAAAAACGCCAACGACTGGAGGATGCAATAAATGGATTGTCTGTCGGCAATGATGACAAGAAATCCGAAAACCAGCGTGCACATGGCATTTGGATGTCAGTTGGAAATGAGGAAGAGATGCTGGCCTTTTATTCAGAATTCTTCAAGGCCTTCCAGCAGATCAATTGTCGCCAAATTGCAAAAGCATATATCAAGTTCATTGAGCCTCGAAAACAGGCAAAGCACCCATACAATGGTGGAAGGGCTGGTCCAGAAGACACAAGGGACCCTGAGAAAACTAAGCCAGACTGGTGGCCTCCTGGCGTGATTCATAAAGAGCCAGATCATCTGAAAAAGATTCGTGAGAAGCCCCCCCCCCCTCCCCCCCCCCCCCACATCTCTCTTTCCGTTATTTTTCTTTTGGAAGCTTATTAGGGATAGCTCGAGTGAACCTCCTTATTCATATATTTCGGAATTTGCGCAAATCTCATGGTATCACTTCCCAAAAGCTCAAAGCTGCTGGCGCAGAAGCACAGAAACAGTGTAGACCGGGTGAAAAGGCAGCTATTCTGAATGAAATATATCGAGTGAGGGAAATAGAAGAGCGTTATGAACGGGGAGAGATAGGTTAGTCGGGTACACCTCCTCTTAACTCTTATTCGTTTATCCCATCTAATAGTACGCTGCCGCATTTTACCAGATGCCGATCATATAATTTACGTTCCTCAGGAAGAAAAAACGGATCCCGGCACGAGGGAGGGCTCTGAGACAGCGTCTGAATCTGATCAGCAGAGCTACTCTGTAGGCGCTGGCAATTGCCTCCGAGAAACTGCATCAGAGCTTGCGGATGTGAATGAGAATGATGGAAGCTTACAAATCCCGCCTCAGACATTCCCTGAGCAGAACAGGACCGTCCCCATTTTTGCTCACGACAGGAACAGTCTCCTTCCATTATCCATGCCAGTCGCCTTTGAACCGCGAACCCCAAGCGCTTTCTCTCCGATGGGAATTAAACCAGACTATGAAGAATTTACACCTATAGACACAACTCCCAGGTCAAGTGACGGGATACCAAATGGGTCTAACGTCAGCTATCTTCACGGATTGACCCATTCCCCAAACGAAAGCGAATATATGAATCCAAGGAACTTCAGCCCAGAAGCTCAAAGTGGAGGAAATTATGGCTCTTGGTCAGCAATATCTTTCCAACAACCTATATTTAGCCCTGTTGATTATGGAAACGGGGGTGCTGGGATGATACCTCAGCACTATATGCCTCAGTCAGTTCCAGTGATTTTGCCATCGCATGGACTTTTTCCTCTTCGAGAAGTCCACGGAGCAGGGACATATCCTCAGATCGATGGCATACCTGTATTTTCTTCCCCCATTTCGACAGGATCCTTTAGACATCCCCATGTGATGGCTCCGCCGCGTCATCCCGCTGATGAAGCGGGGGAATAAATTAAATAATCTTCTCCCTTAGGTTTGATCCAATAAATTGTCATAACATCTAATTTCCTTGGTAACCCTGGCCTCTTCTTCTGTTTTCTGGAGCCTTCACTGTTAATCTTTCCCCTTCTTTTCTCTACTCTAGGTTTTGTCTGGGTTTCTCCTTTTATTTTCTTGTTTATATGTCTTTATAGCAACTTATCTAGTATCCATCGACAAGCATCGATAGGAACAATTATTAGGAGGCGATCTGCTTTAAGTCAACAAAAAAGGCCCCATGAGACTGGGTTTTTATTTTGCAAATTTGACTCGATTCTCTTTTTTTCTGGTGCCCTCGCTACCGTTTCAATATCTTTTCCTATTTTCTCATTTTATACATGCATTTTCACTGCAACCACCCCCTGCCAAGCTCTCTCGAGGATGAACTCACCATTTCCTCCAAAGATACCATCAGCTTTATATAAATTTCAAGCGAGACGCAAACCAAAAAGTGCAACACAAGGAAAAGAAACATTGTTTGTTGCCTTTCAAATATCTGCTCGTTCCTAGTCCATTCGCGCTTTCGCAAATCGTTTTTTACACTCCTTCGGTGGAATTTCGTTTCCGTCTCAAACTGCGGCTGGCGAGCTCGCTGCAACCGAAAAAAATTATTCGCTAAAAACGCCACAAATTTCTCTCTCTTTTTTTTTTTTTTTTTTTTTTTTGCTTCAATTTTTCTGAATTCGGGAAATTTCAGCCTCCACGCATGTTAGTTTATTTTTGTACGTAGTTTAACAGGCGTAAGCCATAGCTTAGTATGGGGGTAAACACTAATAATGATCTGTGGTTATTAAAAGCTGCGTGAAATTCGTAGAGATTAGTATATAGGAAAGTTCGAAAACCCGTGATTATTTACTAATTGAATTCAATGCTATTCTTGTTTCATAGTTATAGCTTGGAAGCATCACCTCTCGTCAAAATCTAGTGATCAACCTGTGGAGTTTAAAATCACACATCTTGCCTATGATTTAATCAATATAAAGATCATGCAAAAACAAATCTCAATGACTTACAATGTTAAATATTTAACTACCTAAAAGATGGTAGAAGTAGAACTATAAGTATATTACTTTCATCTTTAATAGGAGATTAAAGTTTATAATCTATTTTTTATGACTATTTAGTCTTTAGAAGATAAAAAGAAGCTAGTTTCAAATAATTATAAAGCTGCAAAATAGCTATTATTTTATTTCTTAATATAAAACAATTTTTAAAAATAAAGTAATTTATATAGATTTTGAATGCTATTTCAGTTATTTACTTTGAATTAATAAACTCTTACTATCAGAAAATGAAGATTTAATGTTTAACAGAAAAGGAAATTTTCATAATTATAAAATAATTAGTTAATTTTTTTTATATCTTTCTGTAAAACTTATAAATTTAAAAATATTAAAATAAAATAAAATATAGTATTTACAACTTATTAAAATTATAATAAAATACATAGTTGAATAAGTTTAACTAAATAAAATAAAACTAATTCAACTAAATCTATAAAATCAAAGAAGTCATAACTAGTAATAATAAAGTTTTTATAAGATGATTTATTACTATTGTTAATATCTATTTCTCAATATTATATTAATACCTGCAGATTAAACTCTAAATATTTAAAAGATAACTGAAGTAAAAAAGTAAAGAAATATTTAGTAATAAAGAAGATTGTAAAGAACGCATTGAAATAATTAAAAAAATTTTAAAAAATTTAAGTGATAGTAATAGAGTTATTTAAAAATCAGACATACATGTCATATCAAATGACATCAGATTGATACTTTTGAAACTTATCAGTTAAAGTAGTTGTGGGTCTAATCTCATATATAAATTGCCACTATTTCTATACTAGGCTAGAAATCATATATTGCCATGTTCTAGAATTAATCGCTTATTGATACCTTTATAGGAGTTTGATATAATTTTCTTTATTGCATGAGTATTTTCAACACTAGATTTTCTGAACAATTAACTTTTGTATTATTCAATTTCATATTTATTGACTTGTCATAGTCATTGACTATATACAAATTAAGAAAAAATAATATAAAATAAAAGCATAAATATTTAAGTTAGTATTTTTATTTAAAATGAGCTTTTTATAATCTGCTTAAATCACTATCTCTGTAAAATAAAAAGTTAAAATTTAAATTTAATAATTATATCTATAACAAATTAAGAGAAAACTATGTCTTCACTAAAGTAGAAGATAAGCTATTTTCCTTTATATAATTAAAAGGGATTATTTAGTAATTTTGAATATTTTAAATAAAATCTTTCCACTATATATAAATTGTAAAATATAAAAAACTTAATATGATCTTTAAAAATTTTACATTCTCTGAAAATATTAAAATTATAAACCTTAACTATATTAGAGTAATCATATAACTAAGTAAACCAATGATAAAATTTAATCTTTAAGATTATCATCATAATTAAATGTTAATGTTATTATATACTGATGATCTCATTTTTATATAACAAATTTACAATTTAACTGGTTAGTTAATTGATTAATAGTTAACTAGTTAACTAATTATTAGCCAATTAATTAGAAATTCATATTTATCAATAGTTATAACCACTGGCTCTGTGAACAAGTAGTTGCTTAGTGTTTGATTCAATGAGTGAATATGAAATCTATAATCACAGACAGACTGATGAAGTCGCTAGGGAGGTGCAAGCATGCTAAATCAATACGCTGCCCTTGATTGATATTAGCACTGAGATATCCTAGTAGCTCTGCCTGTTATTCCTATTCAAGATGGCCACTAATTCATTCATTTCTATTTTCCCTTAATATTTCATTGATCTTTGCACCGCCAATTTAGCAAGCGTAAAAAGCCATTGCTTAGCAGCAAAAACGAATGATCCTTAGCTATAAAATCTGGGTGAAATTCATAGAGATTAAAATATATGATGATACTTCGAAAAACCGTTATTATGCACAAATTGGATTCAAACGTTTCATGCTCTTGAGCCTTGGCCCTTATCTCTAATTAATGCATAACTACCCGTTCACTTAACTTTTTCGAGACAATCGTGTATACAACAATCCGATCAGCCTCACTTTCACCCCAAACCATCCAACAGTCCCAGCCCTGATTTCCCCAAAATATCATTTCCCCGGTTGCTTCCCCTCCCCCAATTTGTTAAATTTGGAATTTGAAACAAACAAACAACCTATAAACTTAAGTGCAGATAGACACGCGTCTAACGGGTTGAGGGTAGACGGCAGACGGTAGACGGATCCACAGATCCGCAAGATGCCTGGGCATATATATTCATATCAGTTTTGGTATTTATAAAATTGACCAGAAGACCACCCTTTCTAAATCTGAGGAGCGTGCTTGGGGGTGGCTTAGAAACTAACTATCACTACTGCCTTATGACATGTAAGCACGGACTAACGGAGCTTGAAAGTATGGGTCAAGGTTCATTGCCATTAAACCAACCCTAATCCTAAAACCCTAATCCTAATGCTAACCCTGGGTTGAGATTCAATTATCATGTGAGTAATCTTAGGAGCGGACGTTTATACTAATAGGTTCTAGCACACCCGTGTATTTTAGGAGACGAGTGCGGAGAAGATGACGCGGAAAGGAATCGGATTCATCCCACATTGACAAAATATGTATCAACTGACCAGGCAGACAAAAGCGGTGATTGGAAAATAATTTTGGAACGTTGAAAAATCATTTATTATGAAACACGTTCAACGGCAAAAGGAAATAAACGTGCTATATATATAGATATGCGTTAATACAACATTGCATGTTCCATGTTGCAAAGTACCCAAAACGGCTCACCCCATCATCCCTATCCATAGAAGGAAAAAAAAAGAGCTTAAAAAAAGAAACAGCGTTAAAATTGCACCAGTATAGCCAAGCCATCCAATCTAGAAGTCCTCCGGACAAGTCTATCGGCCTGGAATCAAATTAAGATCCATCTTTTGGTGGCTTAGGTCATATCGATCTTTGTAAGTCTCGCTAATTTCCTCCAGACAGGCAGCGGCAGCGGCAAAGAAGCCCAGGAATGTTTTGCTGGGCGCGAGAACTCGGGAGAGGTACTCTGGATGGAATTGCACGCCAACGTACCATTTGTGATCCCTGAGCTCGACAATTTCCATCCGTTCGCCCTTGTCATCCTTGCCAATGAATGTCAGTCCGGCCTTCTCCAGAGTCTCCACCATCTGGGGATTGACTTCGTAGCGATGTCTATGTCGCTCCCAGATGGCCGGTGTACCTCCGTACAGCTTTCGCAGACGGGACCAGTCCGTGCCAGGCTGGAAGATGGTGGGTCGCTTGCCCAATCGCATCGTACCGCCCATCTTTTCCTTGTTTATTTCTGGCATGTAGACGATGGCTGGATTGGAATGATTCTCGTCGAATTCCTCGCTGCCCGCGTCTATACCGCAAACATTGCGTGCGTATTCAATGACGGCTAGCTGCATGCCTAGACATATACCCAGGTATGGAATGTTATTTGTCCGGGCCCATTTGGCTGCTTTGATCATGCCTTCTGTTCCCCGATGGCCGAAACCGCCGGGGACTAGGATCCCATCTGCCATGCAGACGGCATGCCACGCCTTGTGAAACTCCGCAGGGGAGCACTCCTGTGTCGTCTCTTCTAGATGAGATGCGTCAACCCAGATAAGGTTGATTTTCCGCTTGCAGTGCATAGCCGCATGTTCCAGCGACTTGCTAACACTCATGTAAGAGTCGTGAAGGCTCGTATATTTGCCAACAAGGGCAATAGACACAGTCACCTGTGTATGATCTTGGCTTGAGGCCAGGGACTTCCATTCCGTCCATGTGGTGGTACCCTTTTTCTAGAAGAAGTTTTGGTATCTGAATAGCATCCAGTTGAAGGATACGGTTTATGGTCGAAAGAACACCTTGGTTCTCAAGAAGGACGGGTACGTGGTAGGTTGTTGAGACATTGTGAACAGTGAGGACCTGGTCTCGATCAACCTGACAAGCATTGGCGATTTTGACGATTGTTTGACCTTCGAGCGGTCTCTCGCAGCGGCAAGCAATCTGGTGGGGATAACAATCAGCTAGATAAGGAAGTTGTGAGAGGGGGGGGGGGGGGGGGGGGGGAAGAAAGATATATTGGAATATACCAAGTCTGGGCTGAGCCCTGCGCTCCTGACATCGCTGATCGCCCGCTGGGTGGGCTTTGTCTTTTGCTCGCCGCTACCTGGAGGAATAACGGGAACATAAGAGACATGGATCTGGAGGAAATTACCCTTGCCAGCCCGTCTCTGAAGCTGACGCATGGCTTCAAAGAAGACGCCTGACTCCACGTCTCCGATTGTACCTCCAAGCTGCGAAAATTCGTTTTAGACATTTGAATCACTCGAGCACACGAAGGTCCGGGGACCAGCTTTACCTCAACAATACACACGTGTGGCTCTTCCCCAGATTCATCGACGGGAATTTTAGCCACACGCTCAATCCAGTCTTGAATTGCATCAGTCAAATGGGGCACGATCTGAACCGTTTTGCCCAGATAGTCGCCTCGACGCTCTCGCTCAATAACGTGTAAATAGATCTTTCCGGTTGTTATGTTGTGCTCGTGGCTTAGCGAAATGTTCAGGTAGCGCTCGTAGTTTCCCAGGTCCAGATCAACCTCCCCGCCGTCATCTAACACGTACACCTCTCCATGCCTAGGTTCCTTAGGGTCAACTTTTTATATTTTCTTCCGTTCTGACGCCTCAAGGCAGCGCGGACGAGGGCGAAAAAAAAAAAAGAGAGGGAACACCAACTCGGTAGGGCTCATAGTCCCAGCATCAACATTCATATAAGGGTCTATCTTAATACTAGTCACTCTGAGACCGCGTGTCTTCAAAAGCAAACCAGTGCTGGACGCGATGATGCCCTTGCCTACACCGGAGATGACGCCTGGTGGAATATGAGTCAGACACGGTCGAAAATCAGGGTCAATGAAAACATATTTTTACCTCCCGAAACCAGAATGTACTTCATATTGAGAGTGCTGCTGAGGTGGTATCAACTATCCCAGACTGGCAATGCGCCCCGCTTGGGGGGAGTAGTAACAAAAGACCAAGCAACAAATTTTTTTGTGAGGTTGAAGCTCCGGCGCGGCAGTATTCTGGGAACGGAAAGCGGTGAAGCAGAACGCCCGATTAGCTTAACCGCGTTTGTTGGTCTTGGCGCCATTTTAGCCGCATCTTTGTGGACTTGGCAAAGAACTTGGCGGCTGGGGCCAATGGCGTGTCGATCATCCATCAGATAGCGAGAAAGTTGGGATTGAGAACACCCCGAGTAGATGATCAGATTAGATGAGATTAAAATCAGATTAGATTAGACTGACTGGGTTTTAAGGGTGCGCTGAATTATGCCAGTTTATATATTTTATCCTGGAGGGCACGCGACCCTCATGTTTCCTTATTTGGCTCCCTACAACTTGGTTACAACCGGGTTGGTTGTTCAGTGGCGGCGGCGTAAAGCGGAACTTGTTTTGGAGCCTGCGCACCAGATCATCTTGTCGAGCGAAGTTTGCCCTCACCTGGGATCATCAACGGCCCTTCGTTGATCTTATATATATATATATATATATAGGAGCTTAAGACTATGTACAGAGGCATTGGATAATTCTTTAGCCTCCTCGCGAGTACGAGTTATGAGTTATGAGTCTGCGGAAGTTGAGAAAAGTTCAACTAGTTTATTTGATCAACTCGACCCTAAGATCCAGCCCGCGGGCATTGTTGGTTCGTTATATTAGATAATAACCTTCCTTGCCTGTGCTATCCCACAAATCCGGTGCTTGTTCTGTGTTATTTTTAGCATAGTGACCCCCCCCCCTTCCATCGAAATATCTGGACCAACCATATGGAAAAAAAAAAAAAAAATTGAGTGGCGTGTTTATTTTTTATTTATTTATTTATTTATTTATTTGATTGGGTAACTACGGGCTAAATTCTCGGCATAATGGAGCGCTGTTTTAATCTCTCTTGAAGTTTTCTCAAGTCGTTGCCGTTAATTTTAGCTTCAGGATAATATACGGCCGGGTGAGGACCCTGCGAAGGGTTATCGGCTGCCCATGTTCATGTTCATATGAGTTCATGTGAGCAAAGTCCAACAGAAGGGCGAAACCGGTCGGTTGGGGGGGGCCTCTTTCGGGTGAACTTAACGTCATGATATCTCCCCGATATTCTCTCCAGAGACAAAATCCAGAAGAAACTTTACGTTCGGGAATTCAAAAGTACGTACGCATGCATAAGACGTAGCCGTCCGAATGACTTATGCGCATATCATATTTGCAAGAGACGGGAGTTGCAGAAGACCTAATTAGGTTTCCTCGATCCGTCGAACAGACGATGTGTTGTTGAACAACAGAGATTGGTTTTCTATTATTAGACCGCTCTCTTCACGACGGAGGCCGACTACGTTGTTTCTTCGCAACCACGAAGAAGAACAACAAAACATCAATTAGTTCCACGTGCATGGTGGTCTGTCCCTTGTCGAGGAATATGAGAGAGTGGTCAATATGGATTTCTGCGCCGAAAGATACCTAGAAACGTTGTGGTGTGACGTGCTATCTCAAACACGCATCAAACTCCCCTGTAACTAACTCTCTATCGGCCCATCCGACCCATCACCGACGAAGCTCCCCGTCGTACCATGGAAGTTCTATGAGGCGGAGTAAACCAAAAAACACCCCCACTTTGATCCCTATGTAACCAGTGAATAAACAGTAATTACTTAATTGGACAACCGGCTCTCAATTTCCCTTCCAATAACTACAGCAGAGCAAACCGGCCGGCATCGCTTTATTCATACATTGCTTCCGTGGAACTTGGTGGCAAAAAAACAAAAAAAGGTCTTACTTCCACCCCGTCTAGAAGAATATTAATAGAATTCCGAGATACAGGATATCTATTCTATCAAACCACCATCCCTTGTGCATATATAAATATAGATCCCGAAATTGACCAAAATAAATTGCTGATTGCTGGTGATCGACTGGAATCACAGAAATATATTTCCCCCGTCTACTCCCCTTTCCAAGCACAAATTTCCGACTCTACTTGGCAGAAGCAGGGGGGAATTTGGCTTTGGCTTTCGTCTCCACATCTTCTTCTTGGCTTGTCTTCCATCCTCGCTCTTCTCTCTCCACTTCTTCGGGTGTTCGTGTTCGCAACCTGCGGAACTGACTTTGCCGTCCAATTGCCACATTGCTTGCTTGCGTTATACAGTTATCGCTGCTGCATATATATGAGACCGGGAGTACATTTGAACATAAAAACTACAGGGCAGAACTTTGGGAGAAAATTTCTCTTTTAAAAAAAAAAAAAGAGGGAAAAGCCCACGACAACCCCGCGTCTACGTAGTTTCTTAGCATATTATTTTATATCCACTATCCAATCAACCATGAACTGCCCCTCAAGGACCGACCAGTGCCACGACGAGCACCCGGACTGGAATCAGAACCCAGCCGCGCTCACCTCTGACCTGACCACCCGTGAGGACCTCAATGGCACTGTCAACTCAAGATCATTTAGGAATGGCTTGAGCCAGTCTGATACTCAGTGTCCGGAGGATGCCAAGAACCTCGACAGCTCCCTCGAGAAGCTGCCTCCGTATCTTTCGCTCACCCATACCTCGGGTGCAGATGCGGGTCGTCAACTCTCTCTCAAAGAAGGTATGTAACATCCCTCTTCTCTCTCTCTCTCTCTCTCTCTCTCTTTCTTTCTTTCTTTCTTTTTTTTTTTTTTTTTTTTTTTTTTTTTGATTTATTGTTATTATTGCTTTGCGTATATATCTTATATCGAATCCTGCATTGCTGTTCATTGCCCCCTACAGCCCCCAGATTGATTCGGTTGAATGCGCTGACAGCAAAGATTCAGACACCTTCTCTGCTACCCGCGCTCTGGCTCCTGTGAGCCATAGCACCATCTGCCCTAATGGGGTCTACCGGAAATTCCGCCAGCATCGCGCCTGGGTCTGGTGGACGGTATTGCTTGTTTTCGTTGCATCCTTATCGTTTTATTTTGGAGGTCTAACTTCCTCTCTCGGTAGGTTTTTGGATACAACTCTGGCAATTAGTTTCTCTGCCATTTTGGGACCTTTTTTGGGGAATGCATGACTTACTGGCTGGTATTTCACAGTGTCTAACATGAAATCACGATTGGTGGGTGATCTGCCGATCCGGCGTCTCTCCAGGCGGGGAACTTGTTCGAATGATCCCAGTGGCGCCGGGAGTGACTACAACACTCCGCTGCATGTTGGGGCTCTCGTCATTATTCTTGCGGTTTCATCTCTCGCTTGCTCATTTCCACTCATGGCTGTTAAAGTCCCCTGGTTGCGCATTCCATCGACCTTTCTGTTCATAGTGAGACATTTCGGAACTGGAGTGCTCTTGGCAACAGCTTTTATTCACCTATTGCCAACCGCTTTCGGCTCTCTCAATAACCCATGCCTGCCCTCATTCTGGACCACGGATTATCAGCCAATGCCAGGCGCTATTTCTTTGTTAGCTGTATTCCTCGTCACCATTGTTGAAATGGTCTTCAGTCCCAGCAGACACTGTTGCTCCGGCGGAGCGGACGTCTATACCTCATCGAGATCGAAGGATCACGAAAACACAGCAGTTAAACAGTCCGCCACTAGCGCAAATTGGGATGCGACAAAGCAGGAATCAAATGTAACTACAGATGCCTCCATGCGACGGGATCACCCATTGGTTGGTAATTCTAACAGCATGGGCCGTGAATTGGCCCACATGAATGCTGGCCTAGTGGAGATGGAGCGAATCGAAGCATCTCAGTCGCCTAATGCACCAGCTACCAAGGCAATAGTCGATGAACAGTCAAGCGATGGACAAGTAAGCGAAGATGGCAACTCCATTAAATTGACGCCTCAACAACATCTTAAGAAGGCAGTGATGCAATGTACGCTGCTGGAGATGGGTATCCTGTTCCATAGTGTGTTCATTGGCATGGCTCTGTCTGTATCTGTTGGGGGCCCGTTTATCGTGCTTTTGGTTGCCATTTCCTTCCATCGTATGTTTTCGCCCTTTCCCACCCTTGCTACATGTTCTCCATTCGAGAAATAAGAGCGTGGATGAAAACTAATATGAGATAAAACGCAGAAACATTTGAGGGTCTCGCATTAGGCTCTCGCATCGCCGTGATAAACTGGGGAAAAAACACCGCACAGCCTTGGATCATGGCCTTATTATATGGTTGCACGTATGTGGCGTTTTTTTTTTTTTTTTTTAAATTGATTCCGGAGGGAACTTGACTTGCTGACATCATTATTATGAACAGCACGCCTATCGGTCAGGCTATTGGCCTAGCGACCCACACCCTCTACGATCCAGACTCCGAAGTTGGCCTGGTCATGGTCGGGGTTATGAACGCTATCTCCTCGGGGCTTCTCATCTACTCTTCAATGATCGAACTGCTAGGTGAGGATTTCCTGAGCGATGAAAGCTGGCGCATTCTTCGGGGCAATCGTAGAGTCATCGCCTTTTTCCTTGTCTTCCTGGGCGCGTTTGCCATGAGTCTTGTTGGTGCTTGGGCTTAAGCGCGCCAGTATGGACTAGACTTGGAATTTGGAGGATCCCGAATGGGACAAATTTTTGAGGATATGGTTTTGGTTTCATTAATCATCTATCTCTATTCACCTCGAAGAAACTTGAATGCGTTTCTTTGTGCATTTAATTTTTCCGTTTTTCTTCTTTCGTATTTCCATACCATTACCGTTTCTTCACTTTCTTTTGTTTCTTCTTTTTCCTTTTACTCAAGTGTATAGATGTCGGCTGCAACTTTTGTATCAATTGTATTGGGATATTGGCTGGCCAGGTTCGAGGCCGAGTAATAGAACTGACGCAGCTTCAAGGAGGCCAAGAGAAACACACTTGGCTTTCATATCATTCTTGTCGCGTATTTGCTAGTTCATGCGTTTGCTTGTTAGAAACGATGAGTCAATATACACTGCCCCAAGCATAGGTATCGTTTGGGATATAAATCTTAACATAGATAGGGGAATCTATTTTAGGACGAGATAATCTGAACATGGTCATAGCTTTCGAAAGTGTTCTGTTCCCACTATTGATACTGTACATGTAGGGTAATAGATTGATTGTTGTCGAGCTCCTCTTGACGGTGTGGATACGACAACTTGTGCATTTGATCGGATGACTTAATCCCATTAGACTTAGCCAGCCATAGCCGCCGGCGTCAAACGTTATTTGACAAACAAAGCAAGAGGGTGCCAGTCACCTTACTTATAATAGCCTAGCTTAAAATAAGCGCGTACGGCGGCAAGCTTTCCCGTATTTACGACTTCAACGTTGGACATCCATTGCCTAATCGCATGTGTCTTGTTCATCACGTCGTCGACGGAGGACTGCTGTCCAGCCAAAAGTACAGGAAAATAGTGCAATATACCTTTGCCTTAGCAACGGCTATTTGAGTCGCATACACCTTCCGTCCTGCCGATACAGGCTTCGGATCAACCTCGAGAAACTTGGGCGCTTCGATGACTTGACCCATCTTCGCCAGTGTCTATTCACCATTTCTACTCCGGCATCGAATTCCCCCGCCCAGCGGATCCAGGCGGCCCAAGTACGCCATCGCGTGTCACAAATATTAGCCTACCTTGCCATCATTGCTGATTTTCGCGGTGTTTTCCGGAGTTGCTCGGGGTCTCGATCAGTTCCGCCGTTGCTTCGCTAAGGTCGCTTGTTTTCCGTTTTATACCTTTTCCCGCGAATTGTTGTTCGAGAATGGATGTTGAAGCTATCTGTCGTACGATCTCATGGGACTGACTCCCTTTTATTTTGCGTTGCTTGCAGTTGAGGTTAACACTCCGGAGCCTACTACTACTTCGTTTGTCTACCTGCGTCGTCAACCCGCCTGCAACGATTTGCCTCCGGAACAGTTCTATCTTATCAAAGATCCTACTATCGAAATTCGAAATTGAGAAGCTACGGCATACTTAAAGAGAAATAAGTTTGGCTTCGGAGAATCATTTAAAATAGCGTTACCTCTGGTCTGCCTACAGCAGATCCCTACCAACGACACACCTTTGACAAATATTTTTTTTACATCGCAACCTCCGATGACGATATTATATGAAAGATTCACGTAAAGTACGTCCAAAAGTCAGTTTGTCTGCAAACGTCATGTTCGACCGACCACTCCTTACCTGATATCTTTGATCCACCAATTCCCGAGGCAAACGTTTTTATTCATCTTTAAATTAAACTATCCCCCTCCTCTCCAGGATCCTTATTCCCTCGCGTCCCGGCTTTCCCGCTTCCTGTACCTCTTCCAACTTCTGTTTATTTGGAGGCCCGCCGCAAATCGTCGGCTGATTGATTTCCCCTTTCACTCATGGGATAATTTCTTTCTTTGGCATGATCTAAATGTATGACACAACAGATTTCCTGCCTTCGTAAGGGCAAACAGGATGTCGGCTCCGTCGAGGGGCTCACCGCTGACAGGCGTTACTGATTCCAAACGTGGGGTTGCTGGACCATTTGCTCGGGGTCGCATGTGGAGGGGCAGTTCTGGTCGATCCCAGCCTCCGGGTAGCACTGATGACAGCACACGAGGCGCTAGATCCCGGGGAGCTGGGCGTGGCGGACCCAGAGGTGGCCGTGGTAGGCGGAGCGATATAGCAGGCGGCATCACACATTCGAATGGTACCTCCAACAGGTCAACTGTTGGATATTCCCGAGGTAATGAAAGTAACAAAATAAAATAATCTGTGCCTGAAGCTAAGTCGCAATTTAGGGTCTGAAAAGAAAAACCCACAGGATGGATCACGACTCAGGAATCAGGAGAATGGTGTGAAGTCTCAAGTTTTTAGTCCACGACCTGTGAATGGACAGACATCGCGATCTTTTTCGCCCTTTGGCGCAATCTCCAACACTGGCAGCATTGATCGTTCGAGGGATCCGCGTAGAAAAAATGACAATTTTGGTGAGGGCGGAAGTGCGAAATTCGGCATGCCGCAAGATTACAACAGCCGCTATGAGCAGGTAACATTTTCGATCCACTATCTCTCACACTAGGGATATTTCAAAGCTAATCGGAGATCACAATTACAGTTGAAACTTGACCGTGCTAAGCAGCGTACTCAAGCTATCAGAAGCGGACAGATGGCTGACCCGAACCAACCGGTGTCCCTCAATAGCGCCATTACCCCGACGGGCACCTGCACGGAGATGTGCCCCGAATTCGAACGGGTCGAGCGCATTGTGCAAAAGATGGTTGATAAGAGCGAAAAGGTTTTATACGTTTGCCCTGATGGCCTTGAAAAAGTTTTGTAACCGATTTCTAATAATTCTGTTGTTTCCAGTTTATCGACCCCGAATCAGGCTTATCGCAGACGGTCGAGGACAAAATGCTCAAAAGATTTAGGAGATCTGCCGCTGGCTATGATGAGCAGCTACCTTCGGACATTAGGACTCCGAAGACCCTTCTACAAACGATGAACTACCTCCTGCGACATGTTGTAGAAGATGACGAAACCCTCGCTCTTACCCACAAATTTCTCTGGGATCGAACGCGCTCGATTCGTAACGATCTGTCCATCCAACAAGTCACTCAGGCCCAAGACGTCGAAATTGCTGTCAAGTGTCTTGAACGAATTGCCCGATTTCATATTGTGTCCCTCCATCTCCTCTCTAGTCCAGACAACTCCGAGCCTTTTGATCACCACCAAGAACGGGAACAATTAAACAATACGCTATTATCCTTATTATACTATTACGATGACAACCGAGATCTAATTAAATTTCCAAACGAGGATGAATTCCGGGCTTATTACATCGTGTTTTCTATACACGATCAACGCCCGGATCTCGAATCCAGAGTCCAAAAATGGCCCCGGGAATTGCTACGGTCACCTCGTGTCCAGGTTGCACTTGAGTTGTTTGCTGCTGCAGGCAATACTTGGGAGTACCAGGGTACCTTGGATGCAAAAAGACCAAATGCCATTGCCCAAGGACTCTATTCTCGTTTCTTTCGGCTCATCCAATCTGACAGCGTGCCCTACCTCTTAGCGTGCATCGCAGAAATATACTTTAACCAGGTCCGACAGACCGCAATCCGATCGATATGGAAAGCATATTGTCGACATCCGCTTTCGCAACAAAGCAAAAACCAAGAGTGGACTGTTGACGACCTCACTGAGGTGTTGGCTTTTGATGACAACGATCAAACAATCGAGTTCTGCGAAGAGCAAGATCTACAGCTCGCTACAAACGCTGATGGGCAAATGTATCTGAATTGGGGCCAACGTCCACTTGATTCTGTCGGTGCGTGTTCCCAACAGCCAAATAAGCCCCCTTTAATGCGCTCCTCCCCAACTGTCCAATCTTGACTCATCGATCGTTGTGAACATATAATCTAACTTAATTTAATGCTCAATAACAAATAGCCTTCCGGCCATCATCACAACAAACATTTTCATATGAATATGTCGAATCTAAACGCTGTGGGAGGACCCTGGTGGCGCTTATTCTTGGGATGAACGTTGTACAAGCTGCCAGACGGGGAATGATCGATGAGGCGTTATTGTCACAGTCCTACGCGGTGTCTCAACCAGGATTGGAACTCAAAGATGATGGCGGCGGACTATTTGTCAGCGACGACGAAGACGCACATCAAGTCCGCGATGCAAAGACTCCAAAATCTGAATCTAGGAACGGAATTATGGGAACTTCCAAACCAGTCTTTTCAATTCCTCCAGTCGAAGAGCCTAATCTTGGCTCAGCCAATTTCTCTCAAGGAGGAGCAGGAGGGCCTTTCTCATATAGCGTTCCTTCTACGCAGCAACCATCTTCTCCCTGGCCAGGGACACTATCACCAGCGGCTCCTGTTTTCACTCCACAGGTGCAGTCGCCGTTTTCGGGATTTGGGAAGCCGGTAAGATTTTGTCCTGTAGTGACTAGCAATTTAGTACTAGCCCATCCGCATTTTACTTTACAACTTGGGTTATTTTTTTTTTTAGGTTGCTGACTGTACGGTTGTTTATAGTCTACATTTGGTGCTCCCCAGCAGCAAACTGAGCAGGCAACTTTGACAACCCAATTGGCCACAGGCCTGGGGGTATTCGGACAGCCTTCCCAAAATCCATTTTCGCCATCTGAATCTGCCCCTCAATCTAAACCACCCACCTTCTCGACATTCGGTGCAAATTTAGGATCTTCCTTTGGTTCCAGTTTTGGTTCATCCTCTGGTGTCTCGAAAGACACTCAACAACCTCAAGCCGGGGATTCGACTCCCAGTGGCACAGAATTCAAATTAGGAACGTCAGCAATTTCATTCGGCCAACCGAGTTGTTCCCAGCTTGGAAATGGTAATTCTAGCCAAGGCTTTTCACAGGCTGCTCCTACCCCCTCTATCTCTCCCTACCAGCCGAAAGAAACAACATCCACTGAAAAGCCTCTTGGAGCTTCTGATGGAGCAAAACCTCGCGAACGGTTATTTGGACCTTTCCCAGGCGCTCAGTCAGCCAAACAGCCTAGTACTTTTGGGAAAGGTAATGAATCATATATTTCCTGTAGCGTAGTAATCTTCGGCTGACATATTTTAGGGACGACAACATCGCCGTTCGCGAGTTCTGGGACATTCGGCCAACCAAGCAAAGATACTTCTAGTGCCGAAACAAGCGCTCCTACTGTTACAGCGCCTATGTTCTCAACTTCGGGGCTTCCAAGTTTCAAACAAGATCAACCGGCAACCACTGTATCGAATATATTCTCGTCGCCTTTCTCCGCATCCGTGGAGTCGTCTGGTAAGTTATGGTTTGGCTCTTTTACATTTTTTGATTATGCTCTGTCTTGAATGATTAGAAAGTTTCTAAAATTTTGCGTTGGTTCTAATCGTGTCCTGTAGCTTTTAAAACACCGGCACCCCAATTTGGGTTTGCTAATTCTGTCAACAAACCCCAAGAGCCAAATCCGGGGGGGGCTGATGATGACCAAAAAGCTGCAGAGCTGAGGGCGGCAGAGCAGGAAGCGGCAAAATGGGAGACTGTCGAGGAGAAGAAACGAGAAGAAGAAATGGAAGCTAGGCGGATAGAATCTGAGAAAAGGGAGGCTGCTCGACGTGAAATTGAGCGGGAGTGTGAGCGAAGACGAGCCGCGGCTGAAGAGGCTGCTAGACTTGAACGGCTAGAAAGAGCTAGGAAGGAAGAAGAAGAATTGCAACGTGCCAAACGACTAGAGGAAGAGAGAATCAAGACTGCCAAACGGGAAGCCACCCTGCAGGAAATGGCTAGACGACAGGAGGCAGAGTTGCGTGCGTCACAGCTAGAAATCGAGAGGAGGGAAGCCGCCGAACGCGAGATCGTGCGCGAAGAAGCTGCCAGAAGGGAATTAATAGAACAGGAGATTGCAAAACGAAAAGCAGATTTTGCCGAAGAGGAAGATGAAGGGGTTAAAGAGCAGTACATAGCGAACGGAAGGATGTCCGAAGGCATACTCACTGTCGAAGAGCTCCTCAGCTTAAATCGTTCCAGTACGAAACCGAAACTCCCACCACCTCCTGCCACCAGCAAACCCTTAATCGACGAAGACGAACTCCTCTTCTCCGCTGCTCGCTTGGCTGCTAGTGACCTCGCCAATGGGAAACACTTATGGGCTGATATCCCTGGCTTTCAGAAATCATTGTCCATGTCCATGTCGACGCCCATGTCCACACCTATGTCTCCTGCCTCCACTTCTCGTTTCAGTCGATCCAGCACCGGACCCGAAAGCTCGAGGGCCCCGAACAGCTCACATATCCTCGTTAATGGATACGACGTGGCACTTGCCCCTGAAACTCGGCTTGGCCTTGGCCGTACGTTGTCCCGCACTGAGCAGAGAATCCGCCAAACGGGCGCAAAGGGGTTGGCGTCTCTGCCCATTGCCTCATCTGCTGCTAGCAGCAAGTTATCGAATGGGAAGGTTCGGAAAAACAAGCATAAACGGCAGAAACGTGGGGAGTCGTCTTGATGACGATGGAATATTAACGTACTTGCAAAAGAATGCTATATATGTGTTTATTCTCTTGAACTTGAGCGTTGTCTTTGTCTGACGTGCAAATATATCCTTGGCCTACATAGTGTGCACTGGTTTGGCGTTTTATTGAGGTGATTTTTGAAGTTGTATGTACTGTACTTTGTCTCCACATCTTTCGGGGTTTTCATCATCTAGGTTAGCGGACATGGATGGAATGGGAATGCAATGTCTTGGATGCAT